ATGTCACTTGCGACAGAGAAGGGCCTGGGAATGCTGTCTTCTTAGTAAACTGTGGAGAGAAACCTCCCCATTGTCCAGTAGGATCTTCTGAGGACTCCCCAGGGAAGACAACATTGCCAAGAGCCTGGCTTAAACCTTCCCACATCCCTCTAGAGATTCCTGCACCCTCTGCTTCCCTACGGTGCCTGTATAGCAATGCACACCACATGGGGAATAAACAGGAAGAACTAGAGATCTGTGCATGCTTACAGGGAAGCGATGTCATTGCAATCACGGAGACATGGTGGGACCTGAGTCTGTTCATCCTGGGGAAAGGAGGACTGAGGTGGGATCACATAAATGTTTATGAATATTCTGGGGGGGTCCTGGTGGATGAGAAGTTGGATATGAGCCAGCATCATGCGCTTGCAATCCAGAAGGCCAACAATATACTGGGCGTTATACTAGGATAAGGGTGGATGGTTCAAGTGGTGTCCCCCAGGGGTCGGTACTGGGGCCTATCTTGTTTAATATCTTTATTGATGACCTAGACGAGGGGACTGAGTGTACCCTCAGTAAGTTTGCAGATGACACCAAGTTGGGAGGTGGTGTTGATCTCCCTGACGGTAGGGAGGCCCTTCAGAGGGACTTAGATAAGCTGGATCGCTGGGCTGGGGTGAATGGAATGAGGTTCAACAAGGCCAAGTGGTGGGTCCTACACTTTGGCCACAACAACCCCATGCAGTGCTATAGGCTTGGGGATGAGTGGCTGGATGATTGTGAAAAGAAAGGGGACCTGGGGGTGTTGGTTGATGCTCGGCTGAACATGAGCCGACAGTGTGCCCAGGTGGCCAAGAGGGCCAACGGCATCCTGGCCTGCATTAGAAACAGTGTGGCCAGCAGGAGCAGGGAGGTGATCATCCCCCTGTACTCAGCACTGGTGAGGCCGCACCTCGAGTACTGTGTTCAGTTTTGGGCCCCCCACTACAGGAAAGACATTGAGGCCCTGGAACGAGTCCAGAGAAGGGCAACTAAACTGGTGAGGGGTCTGGAGCACAAGTCTTATGAGGAGCGGCTGAGGGAGCTGGGATTGTTTAGTTTGGAGAAGAGGAGGCTCAGGGGAGACCTCATCGCACTCTACAACTTCCTGAAGGGAGGTTGTGATGATGAGGGGTTTGGCCTCTTCTCCCAGGCAACGAACAGGACCCGGGGAAATGGCTGCAAGTTGTACCAGAAGAGGTTTAGGTTAGACTTAAGGAAGAACTTCTTCTCTCAGAGTGTGGTCAGGCACTGGAATGGCCTGCCAAGGGAGGTGGTGGAGTCGCCATCTCTGACAGTGTTCAAGAGGCATCTGGACGAGGAGCTGCGAGATATGGTTTAGTAGCTTGTGGTAGCAGTGGGAGTGTGAAGATGGTTGGACTAGATGGTCTTACAGGTCGTTTCCAACCTTGTGATTCTATGATTCTATGATTCTATGATTCTATGATTCTATGATTCTATGGTTTTCAACTAAGACAAAGGAGATTTAGGTTAGATATTAGGAGGAAGTTTTTCACACAGAGGGTAGTGACACACTGGAACAGGTTGCCCAGAGATGTTGTGGATGCCCCATCCCTGTAGGCATTCAAGGCCAGGCTGGATATGGCTCTGGGCAGCCTGGTCTGTTAGTTGGCAACACTGCCCAAAGCAGGGGACTTGAAGCTATATGATCTTTGAGGTCCTTTTCAACCCAGGCCATTCTATAATTCTATGATCTTGAGGGAGGTGGGAGGCCTATGGATGAGGCCAGGCTCTTCTTGATGGTTTTTAGTGATAGCACAAGGAGTATTGGCTTAGAACTTGCTGTTCTAACATGCAGAACAACTTCTTTATGGTAAGGGTGATGGAGCGCTGGAACAGGTTGCCCAGAGAGGTTGTGGAGTCTTCTCTTATGGAGATATTCAAGACTCAGCTAGATGCCTACCTGTGCAACTTATTGTAGGGTACCTGCTTTACCAGGGGGTTGGACATAATGTTCTCTTGAGGTCCCTTCCAATCCCTGTGATTCTGTGTAATTATGTGATGTGCTATGATCTGTGCTACAGACATACTGAAAATGGTCAGTAAAAATGTGAACAGCAAAGTGACAGATTTTACCTTCATTGCTCAAGGAAGTCAAACCTAAAGCTGTCTTCCAAGCAACTTGTGATACTGAGGGCTACAAAGTAGGATGGGAAAATAAATTGTGGGTGACTACATAGTAGACAACTAGTAATAAATATTCATCACTACATCTACATAGTCAGGGGTTCTAAAATAGCTGTTACTTCGAAGGACAATGATCTGAGAATAACTGCATTTTCCTTTGAAATTCTTACTTGCACTGAAAAATACAAAAAGTATGTAAATGCTCCATCTCCACATCCAGCTCCCATACATTTTTCATAGAAACATAGAATTATCTGAGTTGGAAGGGACCTCTAAAGGTCATCTAGTCCAACCCACCTGCAATGAACAGGCACTCAATCAGGTTGATCAGAGGCCTGTTCAGCTACTTCCCAAACTGATATTGCTGTCCACCAAATCCTGCAGCAGTAAACACAGGATTACTTTATAGTTGATTTACTTGCTGATTCCCTCAGGAGGAGATTCAATGGTTATCATAATCAGGAACTCCCTTCTTTAACATCTATTACCATTTCAAGACCACTGTACAAGTCAGTGACCCATGGGCTCACAAAACAATTTTTTTACTTCCTCTATGTGAAAAACATCCTCCAAATATCTAACCTAAATCTCCTTTGTCTTAGTTGAAAACCATCCCTCCCCTTATCCTATCACTACCCATCCTTGTAAAAAGTCGTTCCCCCTCCTGTTTATATGCTCCCTTCAAGAACTGGAGGGCCACAGTGAAGTCTCCCCAGAGCCTTCTCTTCTTCAGCTAAACAGTCCCAGTTTCCTCAACCTTTCCTCATAGGAGAGGTGCTCCAGCCTTCTGATCATCTTAGTGGCTCTCCTCTGGACCCAATACAAGAGCTCTGCATCTTTCTTGTGCTGGAGGCCCCAGGCCTGGATGCAGTACTGCAGGTGGGGCCTCGCAAGAGCTGAGTAGAGGAGGACTATCACCTCTCTTTCCTTGCTGGCCTCCCCCTTTTTAATGCAGCCCAGAACACAGCTGGCCTTCCAGGCTGCAATCGCACACTGCTGGCTCATATCCAGCTTCTCGTAACATAACATCTCCTGCCAGTGACAGACTGAGGGATCAACATAGTGGCAATTCAGAATGCACATGGAAACTCAAGCAGTTAGAAACAAACCTTCAAAACCACTGCAAAATATTCTGATAGAAGCCCTCCACACAACCAGCTTCACCAGTTTGCAGTACTGGTCCCTGTGCTTTTTGATGTTGGTCTGTTACTCAAGGAGCACCATTTCCATAACAGCAGCCCATCTTGAGGGGGAAATCCTTCTTAATCGGTCAGAGCCATAACTAATCATCCTTGGCTTCCTAGATTTCCAAGAATAATGTGATCTTATTCTTCCTAGGCAGGAAATGCTCTAATAAGATTTTAAAGTCTGTTCCATAATTCTGAACAAATCAATTTATTCAGCTATGATAAAGAAGAGTGTCTGAACTTTTGCCACCTCCCATTTGGCTTTTACAGTCATATTATCAGAGAGATTTAATACAAAAGTATAGTGCAGCCAGTTCAATGCTTTGCAAACCTAAAGGAAATGTGTAAGAGGTATTAATAATAATAGTGAAGATTACAATTCTCTATGTGATTAATAATATCTTTTGTACCAAATTTTTGTAATTCTGCCGTTTCTTGATTTTCAGTCAGGAAGCAAGGGCACTTTTTTTTTTTTTTTACCATTTATCACAACTTTGGTGCTTAAGCTTTCTGCTGAAAATATGGAGACAAAATCTGTTCTCAATCATGTTTGTGTAGCTTGTATAGCTGTTCTCAGCCATGTTTTGTACTCTTCTGATTTCACTACGAACACTTTGATCTACGCTATTGTTACCATGAGCAGAACTTGAGAGTTTGCCTCCCCCACTAGCACTTCTAGCAAGTGACCACTTGCCAGTTCTCTTTTAGGTCTTCAGGAAGTATATAATCTCCCCAATTCCACTTCATTGGAAACAGCTGCTCCCATTACCTGTATGCAAGATTTCAGAACATTCAAACCACAGCTTCAGTGCTTGCGTCTAGGGATTTTACAGGAAATGCCTGTCCATCAGTCCTTCTGCCAGAACACATATTGTCTGAGCTGTTCTGAAGAGGCAATTGTTACAATTCCAAGAACAGGCAATAATAAGGACAGAATAAAGCATATCCTTTAGAAAACAAATTGAAGAAAGAAGCTTTAAAGGAATTACATATTTTCCTTCAAATAATTCCACTATAATTTTTTTGTGAATGCGAGTACATCTCTGCAAAACTTCACTGCTAATGACTTATCAATACACAACATCTTCAAAACTGTTAGAAGAAGATTTTCATTTCATTAAAAGGAACTGAATTGTTCTATGATTCTATTATTGCTCTGTTTTCAGGAACTGCAAACTCATAAATGTACATCTAAGTTAACAAACAAAGTAATCATTGTGGCAATTTTCCAGGTTTCTTGTATGATGGCATGGATGAACTATTCACCAACTGTCTAACCAACATTTTTCCAACTATTTCTGTGGATATTTAACAATTTATCAGCTGGCAGAGTATCTCACCTTGCTGACTAGAAGTCTATTCTTTTTAGAGAAGTAGATACTTAGCACAGCCAACATTAAAATCTCATGCAAAGCAAGCTGTTACAGTAGCACTGATTTTATCCTGGAAAACCCTGCAAAAACACAGATATATGTATATATACCATTACACGAGTATATGAATATAACAAGTATATCATGTTTATCTTTTGGTTTACTTCAAGAGTAACTGAGAAAGCTTTATTACAGAATCACAGAATTGTAGGGGCTAGAATGGACCTCTAGAGATCATTTAGTCCAACCCTCCTGCCAAAGCAGGCTCCCTAGACCAGGTTGCACAGGTAGTCGTCCAGGTGGGTCTTGAACATCTCCAGAGAAGGAGAATCCACAACCTCTCTTGGCAAGATGTTCCAATGCTCCATCATCCTTACTGTGAAGAAGTTCTTATGCACATTTGTGCGGAACTTCCTAAGCTTCAGTTTGTGGCCATTTCCCCTTGTCCTATCACCACACATTGCTGAAAAGAGTCTGGCCTCATCCCTTTGTCTCCTGCACCTTAGGTATTCATAGACATTGATCAGATCCCCTCTCAGTCTTCTTTTCTCAAGGCTGAACAGACCCTGGTCAACTTAGCCTTTCCTCATAAGAGTGGTGCTCCAGACCCTATTGTCTCTGGAACAACAATTCATTAGAGCAAAGATGGTTTAATGAAGAAGACCGTGAGTGAGGAACCTGTCTCAAACAATGGCTTCCTTTGTTCTGATCTCGGTTCTGGGAAGACTCATCACAAGGGGAAGTGTGACACGCTCCTTGTGTCTTCCCTGCTGAAGTAAGTCTGCGCCAGTTCTGAAAAGCCATGCTGTCTGTCTCCTCTTCTGTAAAGCTTTGCACACGTTGGGATACGCTTTGTCCCACACTTTGTTGCTGCATGAGCCAGAAAAACAAGGCAAAAAAGGAAGTCTGACCTCAACTGCGTAACCAGCTATGTGTAATACATGGAATGGGGTGACCACAGCAACAGCATTCCGTCCCTTAAGCACTTAACAAAAGCGTGCCTAGAAGCGCCTTGGTACGAGGCAGGAACCTTTCTTGTCAGCAGAGGGCAGCACAGGCCACATTAGTGAATAGAACCAAGCGTATTTACCGAAAAATCATACAAGTTTTCACTGTAATTGAGAACGAACCCCATCATACATCTGTAAGTGTGCCAGAAATGCACATTTTTCCCAGAATCACTGTGAATTATCTGCGTACAACACATGCGAAAGAGGAAAGCCCGCGGTCAGGCCAGCCCCGGATCCCGCCCGACACCAGGCCGCGCTGCCCGCAGACGAGCGCAGACATGGCGGAACGCAGCGCGGCCCGAGAGGCGGGGGGGGCTGCGCAGCGCTGAGGCCCAGCGCGGAGGTAACGGGGTCCGTAGTGCTGCGTATTCCACAGCGGCACAGCCCTCTGCTTCCCGGTGTTGCCCAGGGGTGAGGCTGAAGGAGGCGATGGGGCCCGGGCCGGGGTGGGGGGTTTAATGTATAAACTCTGATTTATTCATGTGGCTGTGCATTGAAGATGGGTTCCTATAAAATTCATAAGTCTTTGTGAGGGGGGGTAGAAGGCAGTTCTGCTGAGAGGCAGGAAGAGGTTTGATTTTTGCTTTCATTTCAAAGCCCTGGAATATGATTTATTGCAGAAATCTTTGAGATCTGTTCTCCCACTTTAGAAGGGTTTCAAGGCCAGCTATGAAATTTCCCCAATTTCCTCTTAGGCTTTGTGTTTAAAATGGCATTTGATCTTTGTGTGTGTGTGTGTGTGTATGTATATGAAATTTAGGTTGGCCAAGGCAAGAAATCTGGTTGTTTTTTCTGGTCTGTGCTATGCACCTTCTCAGCTATAACACTGACCATGTTTTTTTTGAGAAAATCTGTTACACTGTTAGGAACACTTGGCTGTTTCTGATCTTTGCCTTGGCTATAATCTGGGTTTTTTTCCAACTGCATAGAATTATTTGAGGAAAAATCATCTGCATCTCAGGTGGGCATAAAGGAGAAGAAGATTGATGCTCTACCTTTCCAAGACATGCTCTATACTCTCTTGGATGCATTTTTATTTTGTCTTGGTTTATCAGTGGAAGTTGGCTGCACTAAGGAAAGGTAGACTATGGTTTTGAATCTGTGGAGATGTATGGCTGAAGCAAGGCACTTACCCCAAATGATTTTGGAGGGAATGGTTTTTTTTGCCAAGTGCTAGCTCCTTAGTTTTTAAACTGAGACAGTGGAGATTTAGGTTAGATATTAGGAGGAAGTTTTTCACATAAAGGATGGTGACACATTGGAACAGGTTGCCCAAGGAGGTTGTGGATGCCCCATCCCTGCAGGCATTCAAGGCCAGGCTGGATGTGGCTCTGGGCAGCCTGGTCTGGTGGTTGGCGACCCTGCACATAGTAGGGAGGTTGAAACTAGATAATCATTGTGGTGCTTTTCAACCCAGGCCATTCTATGATTCTATGATGATTCTATGATTAGTTAGCAGAAAATCTCTCGCATTGGTTTGTCTGTTTTTCCCCATACAATGATTTTCAATTTTAAAAACTTCTGATTCAGCACAATGTTTTAGGATGACTGTATTTCAAACTTGAGGTAGCCTATTTATTTATTTTTTTTTTTTGCTTGCTTGTTTGTTTGTTTTCCCCTTAAGAGCAAACTGACTTATTAGATCTTTATTGATCACCATTGCTAATTGTTGTACACACAGTGGCTCATTACGCCATGCAGTCAAGTGTGAGAGATGGTAATGATTTGGCAAGAAAGTACCTCGGCAGTTCAGTATTACGGAGCCTAATTAAAAATGCAAGCCAATTTCTACCTTCACTTGGAATTCAGATGGATGTTCTCATACTTTGCTGAAGTTAAGCAGAATGTAAATGCCTTGTGTAGTTGTAGGAGAGATAGGGATGCTTATTTTGTACTGCACTGAATTATGATATCATTTATGCTTTTGTTCTTGCAGCTCTGCAACAACAATCATTCTGCATTTCATAAATTCAGAAAAAGAATGTTATTGCATCTGCACCTTTTTCTTGAATTTCTTCTCAGAACAAGGAAGACAGCAGAACACTGCTGACTGAGTACATATTCAGTTAATTTTACCAATGTTTGTTCAGCAACATATGCCAAATAGCACTAAATCTAGTAGGAAAGCAGTAAAATTCTGATGTTTTTAAATATCAGATGAAAAAACTGTGTGGCACAAAGACTGGATGAGGGATTAAAGCCTTCCTTCCAGTCTGTGACCAGGCACCTTTGGGGACACAGGGTGGTTTTTTGTTCTTTTTGTTTGTTTTGTTTGGGGGGGGATTTATTTTGCCAAATTTTATGCAAATAGGTACCCTAAAAATGTAAAATTTCCTAAAGGCCGTAGGGAAATTTTCTCCCTGGGCTGCATTTTCTCATTATGCACTATTTCACAAGTCTGCATGGGTTTGCTGTACTACAGCTCCCTCAAGTGGTAAAATATTTTCCCATTTAAAACTGCAGCTAACTTAATGTGAAACATTGCAGAACCCTTCAGAAGGTGGTGGAGTCACTGTCCCTGGAAGTGTTCAAGAAACGTTTAGATGTTGCACTGAGGGACATGGTTTAGTGGAGAAATATTGGTGGTAGGTGGACTAGATGATCTTGGAGGTCTTTTTTTTTCCAGCTTTGATGATTCTATGATTCTGTCATAGAATTCTGGCATGGAAAACATGCAGTAGTCTGAGAGAATTTTCTCATGTCTTGGTTCTAGAAATGTTCCTTGACGTACTGAATTAATATGAAATGCTATGCAGGATTCCATGTGTTAAGCACTCTGCCTCAACCTTTGAAGGAAGCTAGAAGTTATAAAATGTACTGGCTTTGTGCTTGTCCTCAACATCAGTCTTGATGATTAAAATCCAGTTGCCACTTGATTTACAGAGCAGCAACGCATAAACAATGTTTTTTGTTTCTCATCATACTGCCTTTTAATATGGAAGCTGAGATGAAATTTATGATTGCCTAGGTAGTAGAGTACTTTATGGGTATGTATCACTTTTCAGCTTGAAGTATTCTAAGGTCCTTTGAAAACCAGGTACACACAGCAAACCAGTGCCATTCCAAAAATGTTTTCCCCTCAGAAACCTCTTTCTCATTTGTCATTGATGAAGGCATATTTATTACTTTTACTTGGTTGTTTCCCTGTTAGTTGTTTCTTGTGTTTCTACTTGCAGTGAATATCCCACTCCACTGAAGAAGTTAGTTACAGATTTCAATTCTGTTCTTGTCATGTGTTTTGATGTGTTTTTTTCTCTTACATAGCTTTGCTGAGTAAGAAGGTCACTCAGTTCTCCTTGCTGTTTGTCATACAAGCTGAGGAAAGTGCTTCCTTGGAAGTGGTTGTTTGGACATAAATGTGAGTAGTTTAATAGCTAACTGAATTTCCAAAATTAGTTTGAAACTTTCAAATTTTCATGCCCACATTCTGTTATCCATTTTTGTTTAACTGCTACCATAACCTTTACTTGAATTTGCTGTTGGATAAACTTGAAAAAGTAAATGCACGACAACGGAGATTTAGAATTTTTAGGAACTTAATCACTGCATTAAGTGTGGGAAAAGTCCTAAGGTAGAATGTATATATTATATTTAATCCAGTCCAAGACAGACTACTAGAAGTTTAAAAAGAAAACAAAAACACCTTTGTCACAGAGGATAAGTGTATGCATGGACGAATTATCACCAAAGCACTGTGTGGGGGAATTTCTTTGTATGTCCATAGTCGTGAATGTGCTGAGTGGGAGATAGGAAAGTTCTGCAGTTTATATGACAGGCTTCTATCCATGTGGTTTTTCCTCACTGTACATACATGCCAAAACTGAAAATAAATAAACCAAAATAAAAGGTATGTAGTTTATGCTGCATCCAGAATGTTGAAAATACTCAAGGCTGTCTTGCATTTGGGTAACTAAATTTTGTAGTATGTGTAACATAATACATAATGTGTAGAGATAGTTGTAAGCACTGAAGAAAATTACATTTGAAGTGGCATGCATTAGAAGAAGCAGAGCTGAATCTAAGGGTATGTCATAATGTTTGTGCATTTAAGTGTCCTTGCCTCTGCCCTAGATTGCATGAAAAGCAATATATACCAGTAGATCATCGTCTTCTAATGTCAGCTGCTGCATGTTTGAGGAATGGGAAGCTGTCCTGCTGTAACCATGGTCACCCTGCTTAAGAAAACAACTCTTTTCACTCTTACAGACTCTGTGGTTGGATACTGGAACAAATGAGGAAGGATTCAACTCTGTGTGCTTTTCATTATGGCAGTTTAACAAATATATTTGAAAAAGTGTATCTCTGTTTTCCCTCTGTTTCTGAAACTGCTTTAGTAAAATAATTTGTGTTATAGACAATATTGAGCTCTCACAAGACTTCAAAATGTCAGGCAAGAATGAGCTGTTTAAAGACAAGTGAAGTGAAAGCAGACAGCATTTGCTATGGAGGTCAGGCTGGTCTGTAGTCTGTACTTGTAGAAGCATAATGAAAGTCGGTGCTCACGTTCTCGTCTTTCTCCTTTTCTTTTGAGCTCTACCTAATTTTTAAACTTATTTCTGGCATGCACAGTGCAACTGAAAGCTGCAAAATGTGCCAATTATCCAGCTGTCTCTCTTCTCCCTCTTCTTCCCCCCCTCTGGGGAGATTTCATCATGGAAATAGTGATGGTGCAAGAAATGTACTTGTGAGTTCCTTCAAATGTGACTGTGTGTAACTGGCCTTGTATCAGTTTCTAAGTGTAAGTGACCTTTTATAGGGTCAGGATGTATGCAACTTCAGCTGCCACATTTTTGTAGAGATACAAAAGACTAAATCGTATGAAAAGAGGACACATGTTCACAGCACACCAATGTGTCTACACATTTAATTCTGTTCAGCACCAGGAGAATAATGTTAGTAATGTTTGTGCATAGCAGTGCACTAGGCATCTTTTTGAAAGGGCTTTTCAATAATCAGAAGGAAATCTCATACAATCCCTAAAACCCTGCTTTCTGAAATTTCTTTTTTCTCTTTTCATTTAACACCAGTCAGAATATATGGGAGCGTGCTTTAATAAAGCTGTTGCTGTAAGACAATACATGTATCAGTATTAGGATATATGTGGTGTGTCTTTAACTTTTGAGAATTTGCAAAGGTAGCAATTAGGAGTTTGCAGATCTCACTGTTCTCAAATCAGTTTGTAGGTGTCACTGTTTTTGAATGGTCTTGATGATCAGTCTATAACACAATAACAGAGCTAGAAAGGGAAAGAGGAATGATATGGACATGTTAGAAGTTTACCAGTCTGATGTGCCTCTCTGTTAGCAGCTGTGAAGAGATGATTTTGGAAGAGAAAGAAGGCATGGTCTCTTGCATAACAAGTGAAAGGTTTCAGTATTACAGGTGATCATGGGTCATATAGGAGCCAGAGTGTGATTTGGGGCTTATGATACACTGAGTTACATTAGTATCACTTGCTTAATCGTACTGCAGAGTAGTTCTTAACCTTAGCTTTACAGCTTCTAATAAAATGTGTTCAGCTACTTCCTGTTCATTAATTGTACAAATTACTCATATTAAGTTGTGGTGATACTTAAAAGTTCTTCAGAACACCTGAAAATTCTGATATTTTCAATAAGTTCTTGAAAAAATCATTTAGGTATTTTTTGTTAGATTCCATTCCCACATTTACTTGGTAGTTTTATTCTTTTGAAGTAAGAAAAGCTTGAGGAAAAAGTCTGAAATGAAGAATCAGTCCTCATATATCTCATCTGTCTGTAATAGAAGTTAACCTTAATTGGAACTTGGATGTTTTATTAAAATCAAGACAACAGATATATCATACATCTCAGATAATCAAACATCTCAGTACTTAGAACAACTTATGAAAAAGATCTTGCCAAATTAGGGTGTAGTTACTGTGATGTCTGTTTAAAAAAAAAAAAAAAGAGTGTTTTTTTCTGATATTCTGTATCACTGCAACTTCCACGTTTATTTGTAGTCAGATACTTGGAAATAGTGAAAAGTGGGAAAAGATTTTGAAATACAGATTCACAGAATTTGAGACTTAGAGTCTTTTTTTTTTTTTTCTGAGAAAGATTATTTTGCACGTTTTGGAAAGATGGCAGCAGAATCTTGCTTGGTTTGAGGTAAATTTTCATGTTGCAATTTGTAACTTTCAGATTAAATAAGTCGTAGTGTTTACTTCTACAAGTCTGCCCTTGGATGCTATCAGGAAGGTAGTACAGAATGTATTCAGCAGAGTGAGGACATTGTGTTATTCAAATAGCTACTGCAGCAGAAGGTTGAGCTTTTTAATACATTCATAATTTGTGCAGTGGAAAAACAAACATTCTCCAAAACCAGCATTTTCAGTAAATTGAATCTGTTGACATTAATCCTGTAAAAACTCTGATATTTTATTGCATTATGTGTGAGGAGGGGATGATGCGTTGCCTATAAAGCTTCCCTTTATATGTTTTGGAAAAAGTATAAACTGATAGCAGATTTTATACATTAGTGAGTGTTTATCTGTTGCTTTCAGTGAAAAACACTGGTAGTCCAGTGGTATGAGTGCTAATGCATTAAGCACCACAAAATCTCAGCTGACAGAATGGCTTTGTAGTTACTTATCTCCTGCAGTAGCTGGGACTTCCCCTGTGTACTTCTGTGTGCATAGAAAAACAATTTTGATGCGACATTTTTATTGTACTGGAAGTGTCTTTCTTGGTGCCATTTTTGGTAAATTACTGTTTTTTCCTTTATAATTAGTTTCACTCCCTAATTTTGAATAGTTAACTCTGCCTCAGCAGAAGTTCCCGAGCCCTTCTTTCTGCCAGCTTTTTCCTTGCTTCAGTTAGACTAGTATGCACACTTACACTTTCACAGAATCTGGCTTCCTTGGTTCTACGTTTGTTCTGCTAATTCCACTATAAACCATTTCAAGAAAAGGTTGGGAAAACCAGTCATATATGCAAATAAGATAGTGTAAAAGAACATACAAGATAAAAACAGCCTTGTGATAATATAAAGAAAATGATATAATGTGTCATAATTGCAGAAAGTGTTTTGTGTTTTTTTTCTTCTTTCAGATTTTAAAATGTCTGACCAGAAAAATATTATATACAGAATCCATTGCATTGAAAAGCTACTCTCTGAGAACAATTTCCAAGATATTGAGGATCATCTTAGAGAGCTTGAAGATGTCAGTATGACTGTAGAATATCTTCAGGGGACTGAAGTTGTCAAGGCTGTATACAGAGTACTCAAGAGCTGCTCTTCAGCAGACCTGAAAAAGAAAGCAAAGCAGCTATTATCAAGATGGAAAGCACTTTACAAGAATAACCGTCTTCAGTCAGTGCAAGCCAAGAAGTCAGTTTCTGTATGTGTGAGTGAGGAAACTGAACATCTTGAGATTCCTGGAGAACAATTGCTGTCTGAAGGACCTTGTCAGCAGGTAGAATTAGATGCTGTCCCTTCTAAAATTTTGGTCCCACCACAAACTGTTAAAAAAGTGGTAAGTAACAACGCAGAAGGCAGCATAGATCAGCTTTCCCCTTTTGAGGAAGGATGCATCGATAATGAAGGTTCTAAACCTCTTGTTAATGAAGCAGACTTGCAGCAGGATCACATGAGAGCTCTGAGGTGTAAATGCACAGATCTTCTTTATAAAGCTTTGACTGGTTCTGCCAAAGACAAAGAAGAAACTGATAAATGGCTAGAGCTGTCTAAAGAAATTGAAGAACATATTTTTGCTCTTCATTCTAAAAATGACAAAAAGTATAAAAACTGCATCAGAAGTAAAATCTCTAACCTGAAGAACCCTAAAAGTTGCAACTTAAAACATAACCTTTTTTCAGGGACTTTGAGTCCAAGGGCTTTTGCCGAGATGACAGTGATGGAAATGGCCAGTGATGAACTGAAACAGCTCAGGGCCCTGTACACAGAGTCCTCTATTCAAGAACATCAGCTTCCACAAGTTATTAATGGCACACAGACAAGCAAAATAAAGTGTAGGCGCTGTGAAAAATTTGATTGCACTGTCACTATGATTGCCAGAGGAACTCTTTTTCTTCCAGGCTGGGTGCGAAACACAAATCCAGATGAACAAATGTTGACCTTTGTTATTTGTAATGAGTGTGGAGAACAATGGTATCACAGCAGATGGATTTGTTTGTAATGCTCACTCACTTTTAAGAAGTCACTCAAAAACACAGATAAGAGAATATGTCTCTTGAAACTGTATAGTGTAAAATCGGATATTGATACTATTGACACAAATAAAAATTGCAAAAGCGCTTTTAAAAATTGCTAAGTTATTTCTGAAGACCTACTGAAATTTGTTTGGTTGTGTTTGTTTGTTTGTTTGTTTTTTAAGTGGTATGGCTATGTGTTTAAAAAAAAAAAAAAAGTCCTGTTTAGCAAACAATTTTCTTGTATGACAAGAACACCCATCTAGTTGATGAAGGGAAGCCATCTGATGACATCTTTTTCATTTTCACTGAAGCTTTCAATACTGTTTCTCACAGAATGCTTCTGAACAAAATGTCCAGCATACAGTTAAACAAAAACATAAAGTGATGTGTGAGTAGTTGGCTGATGGGATGGTCCCAGAGGGTTATAGTAAATGGAGTTAAATCAGGATGGTAGCTGCTCACTAGTGGAGTTCCCCAGGGCTCCATTTTAAGTCCAGTTCTCTTTAATGTTCTCATAAAGTACTCGTATGTAGGACTAGGAGGTGTTTTGAGCAAGTCTGATGATGATACTAAACTGGGAGGAGCTACTGACTCTGTTGAGGGTGAAGAGAACTTGAAGAGAAATCTTGACAAATTAGAGGGCTGGGCAGTCACCAACAAGGGCAAGTGCCGGATTCTGCACTTGGGAAAGTGCTGCCCTAGATATACATACAGACTGCTGAACTAGAGGCTGGAAAGCAGCCCCATGGAAAGGGGAGGTTCAGTTTTATGGCAAGTTGAATGTGAGCTAGCAGTGTGTCCTGGCAGCCCAAAGAGCCAACCATACCCTGGGGTGCACCAGGACTGGTACTGCTGCGCAAGGGGAGGGGTTGTCCTGCACTGCTCTGCACTGTGTGGCCTCCACCACATGCACTGGGTGTGGGTTTGGGTGGTACAATGTAAGAAGGACATGAAACTATTAGAGAGCGTCCAAAGGAGGGCTGGTGAAGCTGGTCTAGACGGAGGGTAAGTTGCATGAGGAGCGACTGAGGTGCCTGTGTTTGCTCAGCGCAGAGCAGAGGAGCTGAGGGGAGGCCCGATGGCGGCTGCAGCTCCTCACAGGGAGCGGAGGGGCAGCGCTGAGCTCTGCTCTGTGTGACAGCGACAGGGCCCGAGGGAACGGCATGGAGCTGTGTCAGGGGAGGACAGCTGGGGCTCAGGGACAGGTCCACAGGGCATGGAACAGGCTGCCCAGGGCTGTTAATACTTATGAATACTTGAACCCTCAGGATTGCAAACTCACTACTGTTAAGTAGTTATCTGTGGTAATCCAATGCAAGCAGGCATTCTTCCATTTCCTTCCCTCCCAGTCACAATCAAACCTGATAATAGTTTTTAACTGTATTTGTTACAAAGCTAGACATTAAAAGATTAAATATATGTGTAAATTTTGTGAAACTCAGTAATCATTAATAGAATTTCCATTCCTGTTAGAGAAGCTGGAGTCCTTTGCTTTACCAAGGAGTTACCTGTTCTATTTAAACTGCTATAACACAGATAGCTGCTAGGTTCTTGATACTGCCTTAAAGCCAGGCACAACGTAATTCTGCTTCTGAACTAGATTGCAATCTGGGGCAAGGCAGAGGCCTGGAAGTACTGGTGGAAAAGAAAAGATAACACTGGGAGGCAGGGAGAATGAGGAGAGCCCGCTGTAACTATGTTATATAAATATATAGGAAATGAGGCCTTGCTTATTCCAGCGTTGGTGGAAAAATCTTGTCTAGTTTCAGTTTCACAGCTAGTTCATTTTGATAAACGTGTGAAAATCTAGCATTTAGCAATTGGAGAAACTGAATATGAAATCACAAGCTATTTTATTACTTTCTTGATCATCACACCATCAGTTATTTTAATCTAACACAGTTCATTACCACTTCATTTTTTTCATCTGTGATTGTATCCACTCCTCATGACTGAAAAGATTTAGTACAAAACAGGTGTCCTGTGGTGTCATGTGCTGCTACGTATCAGTACTCTGCAGACGTGCTAGTGCCAAATGTGAGTGGCAATCAGGCATACAGTCATTCAGGCAAGTCATGCAGACTTTGCTCTTATTTGAAAAGGTGCGGTCTCAGTTTCACTATGCAAAGTACTGTTCCAGGCTGTCAATAGGTTATGTTGTCTCTACCTGGACTGTGTAACTTCACAGGCTTAAAATGTTTGCCTGGATAAGATTATGTGCTTTGGCTCAAATTGGATCTGAAGAGTCAACCTGCAACCAGACATCGTGTGCACCAGCGTGAGGGTAGAGATTACTGGAGTGCAGGGAATGTCAGAATCCCAAAACAAGAATAAAAAGGAAGCTCTGAAAAGTGAAATTCGTTTATGTTGTTGAGATCTTCTAGGTATGTTCCTGATGGGAAAAAAATCTCTCAACTTCTTGAAACAGGGACTATTGCTTTTCATCTGATTGTTAGGTATACCCATGATGCTTCTCCAGAAAGGGACAGGGCATTAGGGGGAATCCAAATAGACAAATATATGCAGAATAAGGCTGAAGCATGTGCTTTTTTGTTGTTGTTGTTCTTATTGTTTTTTTTTTTTAATCATTATTTTTATTTTTATTTTTTATTTGTTTTCCCTGAAATACTGTTAAGTACAGCTACTTCCTTTATCTTATGAGTAGTACCAATGAGGTATTAAATACAGATTGCCCTCAAAGTTTAAGTAACATGTACCTGCAAGACTCCTGTCTCTCAAGAAGTCTAGAGTGAAGTTAACAATGAAATTCACACATTCTTCTGAGAGGTATTCTCCTAATTGGAGTTGATGAATGGGAGTTAATAGCTGCGTTCATGACAGCACTCCTCAATCCTAGAGATCCCCTGCAGTTAACTCTGTCCTGCTGAGGGCCTTCGGTTTTTCCCTCAACCATTTTCCTGTAGCACATTGCTCTACTGCCGTTTGTTGCTTAGAACTCTTCCTTCCTTTCCAAAACAAAAAGGAAACAGTGTGCTTTTGTTGTTTATTTCATTTCAGTCATGTGATGGTACATACAAAAGAAAAGGTTGGGTTTTTTTGTTTGTTTGTTTGGTTTTTTTTCAAGCTAAAAAGGTTAGCTACTCATTGGTAACTGTTGATAAGGAACAAATATGTTAAATTATGATCCTTCGGGGAGATAAGGAGTGCTTTGATACTTGCTAAGGGGTTGGGGGGGGGCTGGCTTGCCACAGTGTGGTATTAGCAGAGCAATAAAGGCAGCTGACTTCATATCCCCTTATTTTTGCTGCTGTGATTCAGACAGGAGGTGACAGAGTTGTGTTTTATTGAGGCAAGGTCATCACTTGCTAAGATGGGACAAAGTCTCCTTGCCAGTTACGGATGGTAAAAAGCATCATTCACGGGCTGTGCTGCAAGAGGGCTTTGCTGATGCAGAACATTCCCTTGAATGAAAACCGCCACTGTCCTCTGCTCGCCATTCTGCTGTTGATAGAATGTGGCATAAAACCAACCCTCATTCTGCTCACGGGGCCAGCAGTGCAGGGTGCATAGATAGAGACCTCAGGAAGAAGGCCCACAGCATCCTGCCAAAGCAGGCCCAGCCAGTTACATCAGCCAGCCCACAGGGACAGGCCATGCCAAAGCGGAGCCAGGGCCGTGGGTCTGATGTAGGGGCCAGGCCTGTGGAGCCATTATGGAGTGATGTTTCCATCCAGGTCTGAAATCAGAGCAATGTCAGTGTGAATTGGCCACACAACATTTCAGATGGTCATTTCCTTCAACCTGCTGCTGAGGTGTGACAGGCCTATCTTCTTTGAATGGCCTGAACACCAACAGTGCCCCTGGGGTTCCTGAGATTTACTACATTCCTTCATGTTCCTATGTAAAAAGAATAAAGGTACATCTCACCATGAAAGCACAAGAATTTTGTTCCTAACTCAAATTTTAAAACTTCTTCAAACAGATCCAAATGCCTGAGAACCAGCATTCTCTCGAGAAAAAATATAGATGGTAGCTGCATCCCCGGAAGATAAAAACTATTTCCTCCACTTCCAAAAGCTCAGGGTTTCTTTTTTTTTCTTTTTTTCTTTTTTCCTTTTGAAATCACAAGATAATGACCAGAACTTCTATCTTAGAATCGTCATGTACAGATGCCATTTTCTGCCCACCCAGTGCTTCCTTGCGGTTTACTTCAGCCCTGGATGAAAGCAGATCCCAAGAAACAAAGTCCTTAAACATTTTCAAAGTCCGTCTTTGTTACATAAGAATGCCTGTAGTGTCATCACATTTGCCTTTAGCCTGGGAGCTGCTGTCAGTGGGAGGCATTTCCCTCCGATAACACGGAGATCTTGTTTTCCAGTCCTTTGTACATCTGATCCAAACAGAAGATGACTGTGCAAGCGGCAGATCCAGTCTGATTGCCTCATCCTTGTGATCGAAAGCATGTGACGGCTGCCGGAGCAAAGTGATGTTTCAAAGGCTCATCCCTTAAGCCTATAATCACCCATTCCTCTTGATGATGCGGGGACCTCTTTAAATGCACTTAAATACATTTCTGCTCATTAAGCGATTTGCCCCATCCTCGTGAAAAAGAGCGTTAAAAATACTCTATCACCGGTTTCTTCACATTTCTTTCCCGCAGTCGTGTTCGCAAACAGCCACTCGGGCTTCATCCAGAGCGGCCCCAGCAACAGGTGCCTCCCTGCGCACCGCCCCGAGGCAGCGCCCACCCCCTCTAACGGGGCTCAGCCCGGCGGATGGCGCCACCGCCCTGCCCCGCCCACGTGAGCGGGGACACCCCAAGGGCGGGGTCGCACCCACCCGCCCCTCCCCTCTCCTCTCCTGCCGGGGGCAGAGCTAAGTGAGGCTCACGTGACCCGCCCGCCCCCCGCCTGCTCCGCCATGTTGTTTCTCCCTTCCCACAGCGCCCGGCGGCGGCGCAGCTGGGCCTCGGCGCTGGCGGCGGCTCCGATTCGCGGGCAGGTTAGCGGCCGTCTGGCGGGCGCAGGGGGATTCCGTATATCTGGGAGGGGGGGGGCACGATGGGGGTTGCTATCCGCGTGCGCGGATCCGCCGTGCGGAGAGGATCCGCGATCCTGCTCCGGCAGTCTTGGGGTGTAGG